CTGTTCACTGTTTCCAAGTAGTTTAAGAAAACTTACATTATTCTTGTTTCAAGGAGCTTATTTTACATTATGTAGAAAAAGTTAAAATATTCCATAACAAAATGGGAAATAAAAATAATCTCTTGTGACAAGTTTTCCCCCTCCCTCTCCTGGTTATCTGCAAAGTGTACGCCCATTGTCAGTTTAACAGGGTAGTGCTTGTATAAACATTCTTGTTTCGCCTGTTCCATGTAATAGTTTCTTGTATCATATTTCTTCTGACCCCGCTATCTGAAACCAATTATAGGAGATCCATTTGGGCTGCATCTATTTTCATAAGAAGCCCAGGCAGCAGAGATGAATATCAACATCAAATATGATTCTGAGTGCTTTGTTATTTATGTTTCAGAGAGATTTTGTAGCCTTCAGCTCTCAAGAATGTGTCACGCTGTGCTGTTTATACATTGAAGATATTAATGGCCATAGATGTCATTTTTCATTTTAACATCTCAAATGCAACAGGCTGATAGGTTAAACATTCCTGTTTTTAACAGAACAATATGAGTGACATCTGTTTCCATTTAGGAAAAAAATACAAAAGAAGGAGCAAACAACATGTATTTTAAATTGAAGAAAGTAATCTGTGTACATTATTAATTTTCAGCTGCAGTACTATTGGATTTCTTCAGATTGCATCACTTGTTTGGCCTTTTTAAAAGAAAAAAACCCGACAACGGAGCATTTCAATTGTATATGTAATTGGTATTATGATACGCTGTGCATATGCATAGTCCCAGTATCTCTCCAATCCCAAAGACAGTGTTTTGTAAACTTAAGAAACCTTAGTTTAAATTCATTATACCTTATCACAGTACACTTGAAACTGCCAGATTTAGTCTATGTGTATTTAGCTTACATGTGAAGAAATTAATGGCAGTAGTTGCCTATAGCATTTTGTAAAACAAAGCAAGTATTTGCACAAATTCTGAGTAGGAATGAATACCTCTTCTGAGAGTTATTATTTTAATCTAAATCCTTAAGAGGGGTTTTTTTTAAAAAAAATCTGTTACATTTTCTAAAGTTTTTTGAATCAGATTATTCTATTAATAAAAATACTATTTAATTTAAAAGAAACCTTTTTTAAAAAATGGATATATTTTTCCAGCTCAATAACCACTAGTCTTCTGCTCATTTGAATCAATCACAATATATTGTGTCAGTTAACTAAAACTGGGGGAAAGTGCTGCCACTTGCAGTTTTGCCAATTTTAGCTAATTGTTTTATAGATTAAATAAGCTTTCGTGTGAATTCCAGAACTGATTTTTTAAAGGTACGTTGCTCCCATTATACCAGGAAATGACAAAAACCCACACATCATTCATGTTTAAGTCTAAAAAAAATCAGTCAAATGAAATCAACCTAAAAAATCTGGGTCAACCTATCTACGAGTAAGTGTAAGTACTCTATCTTAACTCTTGTAAAAATATCTTAACTCAGGTAAAAAAGAAATCCATACCCTTCTCTGGCTTATGAAAGTGTTTAGTCTATCTCAGGAGAAACTAAAAGGAGCACCATCCTCTGTTACTCGATCCACTGTGGTGTCCCCTCTGGCTCTTTTGAATACCTAGGTGAGAAAATTGCAGTAGTCAGGGCCATCAGGTCCCCTAATTTGGCATTGATACTTTCTCCTCTTTGAAGAATGACCCTCAACTTGTCCACAGGTCAAAATCCACAATTTTGTCCCCCAAACTTGCACTTGATTTAAACATGAGATCAGCTTTGACTTATACATGAGTATATGCGATATCTCTTGTGTGGTGTAAATGAACTAATAGAGCTGAATATTATAGAGGTTCAACTAGTGCCAACAATTATGTTGATTAAAAATCTCAACAACTGTTGATGTGTTTTTGAGAAGTAGTTTGGAAACCTCCGACCATAATGAGGGGGGGAAAATTACAGGAATCTGTAATATGCAGCCTAAGAATTGATCCCAGTGATGTTTCCTTCTTGGTTAAATCCTCTCAAATGAGTTGGTGTTCTACTCCTGTGTGTTTGCTTTAATCCCCTCTGTATGATAAGTTTATTGATGTATTCAGGTAGTTACCATTAAAAAAGAGGCCTGTTTCTAAAACTGGGGGGATCTTTTCTTAAAACATTTGCACTTCAAAGGACAAATGTATTTGCTGTAACTTGGCATCCAAATGATTCAGCCTGGCCAACACCAGATCAGCTCCTCTGGGCCATCCCTTTGCCCTCTGTGTTGCCACTGCTGCTCCTCACCAGGCACAGAGTTCTGTGAAATCATCTGCTGATGTATTAAGAGGGCTTTCATGCAAACAGAAAGGAGGGAGAAAAGTGACTCTGTCCTTCTGGCTGATAACATGGGTGCTCTATTTTTGACATAAGTAGAATGCCCAAGTGCTCACACAGATTTCTGTGGCTTGAGAACATCAGCAGCAGCAGCAATACAGGGAGGAATCATTCCATTCCCTTGCACTGATTAGCCCAGGGAAAGGGTGATGGCAGTGTCTATATGGACAGGGATGAAATGGAGTAGCTGTCCAAAGTGCAGTGAAGCCCACAGATGCTGGATTTTCCTGCACATTTTGGAATATCTTTTGACTTCACCTAAAACGAAGAAAAGTCAAGTTAAAGATGTAAAACCCACAGAAACTACTCATTAGAAATTTCCATGTATAGTGAGGACAGCATCAGATTCCAGTTGAGTCCACATTTTTTATTTGTATAGATAAGCAAAAAGGATCCAAATAGGTCTATTCTATTTGGATAGCCCCAAATAGAATAGACCCATTCAATCAATTGTAAGGATGAGTCAAAGTGTAGGTAAATCCCATAAATTCAAATGGCTCAACTCTAGTCAGGACTGAAAACAAGGTTTAAGCTATTATGTGGTAGGAATTCTTTCTGTGAGGAGCAAGGTTTTCAGCCCTGATTGCATTCTTTTTTGGCCTTTGGTGTTCTGACTACTGTATAGTAGATGTTTGCATTAGGTTCCTCTAGTTTTGCAACCCATGACACCATTTCTGTGCTTGGTTCTTTCTAGAAATGGTCAAATGAGCAAGCATTTGTGTTACAACGACATATTTAAGAAAGTATATGAGTGTTTATCATCTGTGCAGTTTCCCTCACTTCTCTGCATCATGTTTCACTCACAAAATAGGGGATCTTTTTTTTTTTGCTTCTATACACTACATTGTGTGTGACAAAGAAGTGCCCCAAAATAGAATAGATCTGTTGGGGTAATTTTTGTCCCAGCTGTTTTTGCCTATGAAAAAAGAATCCTGTACACGACAGATGGCTGAGTCTCAGAGACAGACTCTTGAGATGACGGCGTCATAAAATGCCTACAATGTACATCTAGTTCTATGTTACTTCTGCTCAAAAGCTGGCTCTAGGGTGCTAAAGTGTCCCTTCTGGTAGGCTTGAGGATTTAAACAAAACTTGATATCTCACCTATAATTCAGAATTTTGCAACTTTGTATTGCTCATGCTGACTTGCAGTTACTTGAGAATTGGAAAACAAAAGAGAAAAGGGGGGCTGGAGTCATTGCGGGTATCTTTGTACCTACGTGGAAAGTATGTACTTCAGAGTTGTACTAGTGGCTTTTACAAGGAGACAAATCTGTGTTCTTAGGAGCTGGTGATAGCGCATGCAGTTTGTTTACTTTGGTTTGCTGTGTCTGCCTGCCTTCTCTGAAAACTTGCATGGAGCCAGACTGTAGCAGCCCTCTCTCTGTCTTTTCATAATTGATCAGGGGATGACTGCTTTCCCTCAGGGTTAAGACGTGGCAACTTTTTCTGTTTGCTCAGCATCTCAATGCAGTAGTTCAAACATTGTTCACACCAGCTGGCAGTGTAATGCCATATGCACATCTTGTCAAAGCAACTGTTGTCATGGATACTGGAAACTACCTTAAAAACCAGCTCATTTGACTCTAATAAAAACTATACCTTTCTTTTATTAACTTGATGGTAATTTTTAGAATGAATGTAGTTGGATTGTACGTCCTCTGCCCTGTTGATAGCTTTTTCCATATGTTATTATTCTACAGAATATATAAGATATAGTTTAGTAATTTCACATTGAAAAGTTCAAACTCACTGAATTTGTATGGAGTAGAAGGACAATTAAGTAATATTTAGAGTGCCTTGTGGTCAGTTTTGAAATATGGTTAGATTTGTTTTAAAACCAAAAACTTTTTTCTGATCTGTACTACCCATTTCTCATTTTTAGACCACATTTTTAAAGTTAGTTTTTTCTAATAATTGATGTCTCTCTGTACAGTTATTGTGCTATTTTGCTTCATTTGGATGAAAGATTTTTAATGCTATATTTTGATTGCAATGCTATCACCCATAGAAGCTAAGCTGATTGGCTAAGTAGTGGTTTCTTTGTTCTCGGAGTTTACCAAGAATGCAAATGAAAGCCACTTAATTTTATTTGGCATTAAAACTCCACTTTATTTTGTCAAACGAGAGGTTTCCCCTTGAATTATAAGTACAAAAAAGTATTTTTAATCTTCAATGAATATCCTTATTAATTCACTTTCAAGATAATCTGATGTTGATTTGTCAAATTTAATTACAGCTTCCGGTAACACTTGAAGTCTACTGCTTTTGCTTAAAACTGTAATATGAAAATGCAAATTGAATGATGATTTACAAGGGTGTGAGCATTTTAGCTGCAGACAAGTTCCTTGTGGAGATGAGGCTATTGATGCGGTTTATGATTTTTCCTCTTCAAGCACTTTATATAAATTAATACTATTTCCTTGAGGATTTGTTACACTATATATTTTTCCACAATACCTGGCAGAAGTATTTTCTGAAGATTTTTTTCTTGGTGTATATTAAAAAAGATGTAAAGTCAGATGTAGTCAAGTGATGTAGGAGAGGCCAAATGTTGCTGGCATGTTATACACTGGGTAAGTTACAAGCTATCACATTTTTAGTGAAACATTTTAAAATGCTTATTTCCATGTTGTTTTTACTTTCAGGCATTGCAGGCAGCCAGGCAGCTGCTTTTACAACAACAAACAAGTGGGTTGAAATCTCCTAAGAGCAGTGATAAACAGAGACCACTACAGGTTAGTAAAACATCTTTACATCTGAAACCGGATTGCTAATCAAGAGCACTCACAAATTCCTAAAATGTACACAATTGCATGTTGATACCTTCTTGCCTATCAAATATTTTTTCTTACCATTTGGTATTGTAATTAATTGAGAAAAAGAATTTTACAACAGCTTGAAGTGGCTTAAAAGGTTGCAGAGATTTCTAAGATGTTTTCAGCAGATAACTGGACATGTTTGTGTGCATTCTTTTGCACCCTCTTCTTTAGATAGATTATAACCAAGTGAAAGACTTTCAAGAGCTGGAAAGCTTTCAGAACAGTTATCTGAATACACAAACAACCTCCTGCTATTAGGACAGTGGGTTTTGTTGTATTAGTTGTGTGTGAAGGAATTCCCACTATCATTATTGTCTTAAAGTCTGAGACAAAGGTTTTTATCATGTGTTGATGCTATTAATCATAAAGTTTAACAGAAAATGTGTGGAGTGTATTTATGTAAAATCTTTTGTATCCAAAGTTGGAAAAATTGGATTCTCGGGTTTTAAAACATTTGTTTGTAAATGTTTTAGAAAAAGGATTACAAAGTAGGCAACTGCTGAAAAGAACTAGTTTTGATTCGTCTTGAACCAAATTTTGAATACTTCACGGCCGATGTTTTAAAAGTTCCTAAAGTGTGCATATAATGTGTTTCTGGGAATACCAATAGTGTTACTTTTACAATACAGCCTTGTGGTTTCCTTAGTTCTTTCATAAGTACATAGAAGGGTTTCATTGTGATACTACTGTTTCTATACAAACATCTGAATATATTCTGGGATTTATTTTCATTAAACCAGAGCAGGACTGGAATGTTACAAACTCTACATACAGGCTGCCAAAAGCTGTTTCTGTCTGACTGTGCTTCATGTGCCATTTGAAACTGTTGAATTTGCTAACCCTGGGGTCAATCCTAATTGCCAGGAGACTCTGTATGGCCATTTCTTACAGTTCAGATGGCTAATACTAGTGGTATGGGGCTTCCCATGCAATTGGATTGCATTACATGAAAAGTTGTTTTCATGATTACCATTGCCACATGGAATGCTATTATGCAGAAATAATTTGACAGCTTCCATGTGGGACCCCACCTCTCTAAATAGAGACAAAAAAAGTAACATATTTACTAGGGGAGAATAAACATTTTCCAGGTTCAGATTTGGAGTGAAATGAGCAATCTTGGCAGTGTTTATTTCCATGCAGTCACACACCTTCAAAAACACTTGTGCAAATATTCATTTCTCCAGTTTTCTTTGGCACTATTATTACTCTTGGTTTCAGAACCATTAATCTTCTTTGTTGCTACCTTTGTCTCATATCTGGAATTGTCACATGAATGATCTGAATATCAACATGCTACCCTTGGTTATATGATGCCTCAAAGGAGGAGTGATGACAATGTAAATGAATAAGATAATCCTTTCTCATGGCATCATGAAATTTGCTGAAAGGATAAAGGATGTTTGTCTCTATCTATTAATAATTTGGGTTCAATTTCAGTGGGGTATATCACTCTTCTGTGCTAGGAGTGGGTAAGGAAAAGGGTTCAGAGACCTGGGCGAATCAATTCACACTTATGCTAGGTGAAGTACCACCCTACTCCAATGGTTCCATAGATATGTGGAAGCTTGGTTTCTGATTATCTTGGGTCATTCACAGATCACTGTGTTGCTCTATGGACCTCTGAACTCTCAGCCGGAGATGATAGCCTTGCTGTTGTTTCAGGATGAAAGATGTGAGTAAAGAGTCCCTAATTTTGCCAGTGTTGCACCCGCAATACACTGTAAACTGTAGCATCCAAAGTGGTCTACGTTCAACTTCTTATTTATTTATTTTATTTTATTGTCCTTGAGGAAACAATAAGTTGGAATGGAATTTGGATGTTGTTATCCCAGGATAACAAAAAAGGTTGGATTAAAAATCAGTGTTTAAGGATAAACCATGGCTTATTGTGACTAGAATGCACTTCAGTGTGCCTGGAGCTCATGCACCCCATTTCTTTTCCCTCTGTAGGGAAAATAACAACATATTACTTATATATATAATTAATTGCAGCTTTGTACTTAATTTCGTCTAGACTCAATAAACCATGGTTAAACTTGAAGGTTTTTTTTAAAAAATCATTGTCACATTATTGATTAAGAAGCTGGCATGTTTCCACTATCAATCAGCTTCAGAATGAGGAAGGGGGCCAGCCAGAGCTGAGAGCCTGGCTCCGCCCCCTTCCAGATAGTTCCAACCAGAACTAGAATTCTCTCCTTCAAAGGTGGAGGCAAACTCCTCTCCCTCCACAGCTGTGCAGTGGAGGTAAAGCTTCTTATATGGCAGTGTGGACCCAGATAAACTAGTTTAAAAGTTTTAAATGATAAAGTATATATAGAGAGGACCTTGGTTTTTGTTTTTGTATTTCTGACATCAACTAGTAATATGAAGGCTTGTGTCCTTCTTTTGCGGGCGGGGGGAGTAGAAATGTATATCCAGTGTTCTGTAGTTTGTACTTGGCCAAATTAACAGGTCAATGCAGAATTTTAAGTTGCCTTGTGTCAAAAGTGTTGTTTGAACCAGTGTTGATAGAGTAGATTTTTTAAAAGTTAACTGTCCAGTTGCTACTATCTTGCAGTCCTAAGCACACGTACTACAGACTTAGCGTTTATTCAGTGAATCTGAGTAAAGGTGCATAGATTGTATTGTTAAGAATTTTAATCTGTAAATAAGATACACTGAACTCAGTGGGACTTATTTAGAAGTAAATATTTATTATTCAATTGTCTACTGAAACAAACTAGTCCATCAGTCTTTAAAGTTTCACATTAATGTGTTTCTAATTTCCTCTGTTTTGGCACAATTGACTGTTCTGGCAAATAGAGACAGAATGGAACTGCATTATATGTCTAATAAAAAACCCCTAATAAAATGTTATACCTGGCTCACACATCAGCAAGTAAATGGGGAGCATTAGGTAATGTTTGCCTTCACATCTCCAGAGTGTACCATAGTTTGATTTAAAAGGAGGGCTGATTTATATAAATGTGGTATTTATTTTATTGCGAGTTCCATTTTATACATAGTTTTGTTATTTTCTAGCATGTAATGGGCCTTGATTATATTGGCAAATCCATTAGTTGAAAAAAAGACTGCAAGAGAAATGTTTCTTTACATCTTGAGAGACATTGGGGTAACATAACAATGCTTGGAACTTATTCTGTGTTTTTTTTTTTTCAAAAATATGTGCTTCAAGCAAAACCTGAAGTTATTTCTAGAAAAACACCAGTGTTTTCCTTTTTTTGTTGAAAACATCATGTTTGTGATGCTCATTAACTAATTTACATCTTTACTTAGACTACAGATAAATGTTTTGGAAGATGAATGGTACCCATTACAATCTAGTACAGCAGTGCTAATACTAGCAATAAATGAACTTGCTGCCATGTGTTAAGGCTTCATGTTACATTTAGAACTTAATTTTAAAACATTTACATGAAACCTAAAGTTTAGCTTTGAAATCTCTGGATATGGATGCAGAGTCATCTAATATGTATGAAAGTGTTAAACTCAGAAATATTTTAAACTCCACTGAATTTAAAACATAATTAGTGAATTGTGTGTGAAAAAACTGTATTTCAGTGGAGAATTTTCTATCAGCACCCTCACTTTGGTGAGTGTTTAAAATATGTGATATAAAAAGTAAGGATATCCTGATTTTTAAAAGAAATCCACTTAGGATTAATATAGTGTATGAATGGTGCATATCAGAAGGTAGGCCCACATTATTTAAATTTGATGAAAGTGAGAATAAAAAATAAATGAATCTGCTATTAGAGTAAGTTAATTGTGTCTCTGTAGTATAGCATATGCTTTACATGCAGAGGGCCTTTGTTTCAATCCCTGCTATCCCCAGTAAAGTTGAAAAAGAAGCCAATGTTAAATCCATTGCCAGTCATTGTAGCCCATATAGATAGACGAATGGTGTGACAACATCTAACAACATTATCACACTGGGTCATTAATGTGGGCAGCCCTGTTCTTCTGCCACCTACAGAATTCTGGGAAATGTAGTTTTGGGTGGGGCCTTTTGAATACTCTTCTACAGGGTGCCTCACCTTCCCAAACCACATTTCCCAGAATTCTGCAGATAACAGAAGAACGTGGCAGCCTGCGTTAAAGCCCCAGTGTGATAACATGGTAAGACAGCTTCCTGTGATCCCAATAAGGACAATTCCACACTATGTATTCAGGCCTCTAATCTTTCCTTACTGAATGCTAAAAAATAAACAGTGGCTTGATAGCAACAATCTTCTGAGTCAATATTTGAAATTTAGGTATACTGTTTTTCCTTCTGTTCCCTCCCTGGAACAGTTAACTAACACTTCTAGCTTTGTTATACAGTTCTGCCAACTCTATGGGTACCTTTTCTTGCTTTTCTTTTTAAAGATAAGATAGACTAGAATGGTGATTCATATTCCAAACAAGGCTGACCAGTATATTCACACAAATTCATTACAATAGTTGTGGGATTTATTTCAAATCCTTTCCTAACCTTTTCATTACTGCTCCACAGTGCATTGATGTGTCTTTTTGGTATTTGTTTCAGATAAGAATAATTTTCCTGTTAATAATTCACTTTAGATACCATCAATTCAGATACCATTGAGCTATATTTTTACTTTCCTTCTGGGGATTACTCTTCCCAGAATAACTGGGTGTCATCTACAAAACTGGCTTCCTTTTTGCTCTTTCCAGATTCTGATAGGTTCTGTATTTTATACACAACCATTTCTAGATCTAGCTATCATCTCAATTTCTATCTTCATTTCCATCCTAGTGCAAGATGAGTAACAACTATTTGGATTTTCCCCCTATGATCTGCAAATTTCTCTTTTAAAATATGGGTTTTGCATCATGAGTGTTTTGCTTTACTATAGCTGGATCAGTGTCCTTCCTTTGATACATGTAGTAAGCTATAGAAGTTAGTATAG